ACACACACACACATATATAAGTATATTGGAGTATTACAGAAATATCAGTAACATTGTATATATTGAATTGTATTGCTGAAATACTTTATCTCAAAACAGATGAAATTATGCCATTGTTTTTGACTGCAGCACTTTCTCAATACATGCTCAGCTGGCGTTTTGGATGTTGTGAGGTTGTATGCTACAATTTCATTTTAGAAGTCTATCCAGTGTATAGACCGATGCATATATCCTGGTCAGACAAGCATGGGTCATTATTGCAGGTGTTTAATCAGCACAAAGGACTTAAGCTGCACAGTTCCCCAGACACTGTCACTGAGGAACAAATAGTGCAGATATTCTCAGTGTTTTGTGCTGTGATGAAGTAAAAACACATGCAGTATTTGCATTGATGCTCCTCTTGCACATGTCTGTCATGTTTGCTTTCCATTCAGCAATCAGTTTTAAGGTTTAAAATGAACCACAAGAGTTTACTGTAGTTCCCTCACATCACAAGACCGCTGCACCAGAGTCCCAGAGCTCACAAAAATATCAGCGCATGCACCGGCAGGACAGGGATCTAATTACTCACACTAATCAATACGCAGTTCAGCAGGATCACAGAGCTAGAGAGAGCAAGAGACTGTACTTTATTAATAGGTAAAATTACAGTGAATCCAAAAAAGTGAGAGCACTTTAAAAATCTGTGATTGTTGTGCATTTAAACCTAGAGTTTAACAGGATTTTGAACATTTTAAAATAGATAAACATGATGTAAAATCAGCAAGAAATATTTCTACTTGTGCAGGTCACTAATACAATAAGTAATTTTTCATTGCAAATTTTCACTCAGATTGTCATGCTGATAATATGTAGGCCTAATGAAATTCTAGAAAAGTAAAATTAAGCATTTTTGCTAGACTTGGTGTAGATACAATTTTCACTCAGAAATTGCTAGTAAATTATTACAAAGAAACAACAAGTATTGAATTGTATTTACATTTTGAAGTAGAAGGAATGAAATAGTTTTTCTTGTAAAACATGCTCTAATATACTGTACATACAAAGTTCTGGCATGAAACTCTAGATGTTGCACTCCGATAGATCTAACTCAATATGACATAATGGCATCATTATCTCATGTCACAGCTGATTGGTTCTCTCCTGTATCAGTGGCCAATGAGCTCGCTGCTCAGCATTCAAATACTATGCTAGTGTTTGCTGTAGCAGTAGCAGCGCACTTCAGAAACCCTCCACCTTCCCCAGCTCCACCTGTATAGATCTGCTACGGTGTGATCATGTATGCTAGGAGTGTTATTCATATATGTTATAAGTGCAGCAGCAATATTTCTTACATGCTCACAGCAGCATGTTGTGGATGTATTGGCAGCAGCAGCAAGTCTCGGTACTTGCTCTGCCGCAGCAGCAGCAGCAGCGTAGCAAATCTATTCCGCCAAGACCAAATACATTAACATTGTCATGTACATTACCATGCCAATCCCTCCGAGAGTTGTCATGACAGAAATATATTCAAAGAATTTCAAAGAATGTTATTACACTGCATATAAAAGTGCCATGCAGGTGATTGGATAATGTTAACCAATATCCAAATAGCTGTTTAGACATTATTTTAGCAAGCTTGCATTCAGTCTAGCTTTCTTGTAAACCCACTTTTCACAGTCAATTTCACTGAATTCTGATTGAATAATCTGTTCACTTGGAAATATGTTGGATTATAAGTATAAAGGGTTGTGAATGACCACTAATGTTGACTTTAAAATAAAATGATGATTATAAAAATGATGCTCTAGCAAAACTACTCATAAATAACTAATACAACTGAGTTGAATTGGAGCTCCTCTGGTTTGGCCTTCGGTGTTTTTTCCTCCTGGTTCCTGTGAGCTCTGGACAGATGCATAATCAGTCTGTCTCTCTGAAATCAGTAAAAGAAAGTTTTCATTACAGTGCTTCAGGCATTTTCTCACAACACAGCTTGCGCGGATATCTCTGGAGAAAGACAGAATGTGTAGAATTCATTCATCGTGTGTTGATGTTCCCTGCTGAAACAGGAAGTTGGGCTGGGACATAACAATATTAATAACCTTTTGTTGAGCATTAGAATTCGGCCGAATTTTACATCTGTATATTCATTGAATTTGAGTTTTTCTAGTACACATGCATGTAGATAATAGCCATAAAATCACATGCACAAACAGCTGCAAAACTTCATTTTTGTTTTGATGAGCTTTAATATCATCTTATATTTCCCTGTGAGGTCCAGAGGAACCAGAAGGACTGAAATATCAGCACTGTTTGCCATGCACCTTGAACAGGGAGCTCCAGAGATGCATGATGTGTTGTGCATGTCCTTGTTCTCAAAAAAGCTGCCAAAATCCAAAAAGTGCATTTTTAGAGAGCATTTAAAGTGGCACACATGCACTAAAACAGTCCTTATATCATTGTGCATTAAATGCACAGCATTCAGCAAACTAAACATTTATCTCTGTAATTTATAACAGTACGAACATCAGCTTTTATTGTTATTGGTCTCTTCAGATTGCAATAAAAAGCAGATAACAAACAGGAAATGTAATGTATTACACATCTATTTAATAAAACCATAAGGTGTTACACACACTGGAATGGTATAAACTTATTTTTTATCCTATTCTATTCCCTCATTAATAATTTTTCTCAAATGCAGTTTGGTAGGAGAAGATTATTCGGGCCATCTACTGAAAAGTGGTCCCTCTCGCTCAGATAAATATAATGGGACAAAGAGTTTTAGTGTCCCAGATTCTCTTGGCCGAATACCTCAAGTGTGTGACGAAAATGTTACGCCCCTTACCATGTTGTGATGCCATGTCCCAGGCGCGATGACGACGAGACAAAAACAATAAAACCCATTATAAACGAGGCATTTGCTGCATCCAGGGCCTATTTGGTTTGAACTGTTCTGGAACAGTTGTAACACTCTAAAAATGAGTGAGGTCACATCAATAAAGAGAAAAACAGTTCAGTCATTTTCTAATGCAAAAAGATGTGTATTGTACCAACCCCCAGAATATATACATCTCCCTCATCAACCATATGAACAAAGTCCACCGGTTTGTAATTAAAATAGTCCCCATAATATTTGCACAAACAGCTGAATCGCGTATCTCTTACCACTAATTTGGTTAGTCCCAGACAAACATAAATTCACTGACATAAATTCAATATTAATATGTAGCGGTGCTACATAGTGTTGTAAATAAAACTTAACCACTGATTTCTAGTTGTGTCCTCTTTTGGAAGACCAAACAAAGTAGTTTCACTTTCACAACGAAACACACAGCGTCTTCACAACATGGCGGCGGCAGCAACAATACTACAGCGAGAATAAAAGTTACGCCTTCTTTCTTTGCGTGAACATTTGGGCGGTGTTATGCAAATCTTCCCACATCGTGACATAGACATGTGGGGGCGTGTTAGAACGACCCCTTTTAGGAGGGCGTGGACGACTCTGAACTTTGATAAAGAATATCTCTTTGGGTTTGAGACTTTAGTTTTTGCAACTTTAGGGATCTTATCTATTTTCACGAACAGCTTGTAACACGCCAAAGAGAAAGGAAAACTTGAAATCGCATCATATGTCCCCTTTAAAAATAAATATGTGAAAACAATACACAACAGACAAAAAGACCAGAGACAATATATTGTATGCACAGGTGTGGATATGTAAAGGTTTTCATGAACATGCTAGCATAAAAGAAATGTAAAAGAAAGTGTATTTATAAAAAAAAAGTCACCTAATTTAGATAAATAAGCATTTGAGAAAAAAACAGAGCAGTAATAAAATTCGGTTTTGTGAAACTGGTGAAATGATGTGTGTGTTTTCAGCATGTGTGGAGTGAAAGCGAGGACTGTCTTCCGTTCCTGCAGCTCGCGCAGGACTACATCTCCTCCTGTGGGAAGAAAACACTGCTGGAGGTGCTGGACAAAGTCTTCAGATCCTTCAGGCCTGTAAGTCTCACTCTACTGTACATTTCTGAATAATAATAATAATAAGCACAATAAACAATTATACAGCCATGCAATATAGTGAATCAGTTTAACGAATGCATAACCTTTGCCAAGCAGTCCATATACAGTATGCTGTGAATGCTCAAGCAGTTTGAGAGATTTGGGATTTATTACTATAAATTCCCTTGTCATTTGAGGTGTAACATAAGGCTTACATAATAGTTGGAAAAATGTTGGAAATATGCATGTAGCTGGCAATTTTCTGCAAATCTGTACTAGTTACAGAGGCCTTTGACTTTGATGTCTGTACTCTTTTGCTATGAATCATCATTATTGTTGCATGGTCTTAGTGGTTTTTAGGCATGTGGGTGATTTCATGCATGAGGAGAGCTGAAAAGCAGAAAAAAGTGCTGCTTCTGCCAGATCTCGATGACCGAAAATCTAATTTGAACTAATGCAACTAAATCAAATGAAAATAAGTTGTAACTGTATATTAATTTTTTTTCTCAAACAAAGCAAATGTTGAATGGCCATAGAAAACTTAAGTTCTTACATTTTTGTGGCGTGGTTCTTTATTGTTCCATTTGTTTCTCCCATGCTTGACAAATCTTGCGTGTGTGATGTGTTTACAGACATTTTTTTAAATGTTTCGAGCGTGACTCATGCAATCAGATTTTAGAGCCAAAACTGTGTTTACAATCTTATAATGGAATCTCTGGAATGGCAATGCATGTTACATTTGAATATTCAGTTTTGTTCTGTTCTGGTTTGATTCTATACTATTCGGTATGGAATGATTGTGAAATTCTTCTGCAGCTCCTGGGTCTTCCAGATATTGACGATGACGCATTCGATCAGTATCACGCAGACGTGGAGGAGGAACCAGAGCCAGACCACCAGCAGATGGGTGTGAGCCAGCAATAATGCCCACCAGAGAGGCTCCGCGCTGGGCCACAGTCTCTGCATCGAGCCAAGCTCTCCTAACCTTACTCACCTGGCTCTTCTTCTTACAGTATACACACAAACACACACACTGCATCATTACACCCTTTAAAATCTGGACAGCTTTTCCTGCACCCTGATTTTAACTCAAGTGATCATTATTTTGATCAATATTATTTCTCATTAACTTCTAAAGCAGAGACAAAACAGATATCGCATAATATTTTTTTTTCAATAATCTGGAGGCAGTAGATTAGAAACTTAAGTTCTGAATGGAATACCAGTGTACTGCATACTGCTGCATTGTCACATGACCTCATTATGTCGCATGTTTAATTCAGTGTCATACAGTTGTCAAAATTACTGTAGGATGTTTTGCAATCGCATCCAAATTTGTGGTAAAAAATGTCTTAATTCTTGACAGTGTGATCAAAATGTAAAAGTTGCAATTGGTATCACGTCCTATTCATTCATCAAATTGGAAATAGAAGGTAAATGCTGCATATAGAGCAGGTATTCCATGCAAACACAAAATTTACATGGAAAATAATTAGTATGCTGTTCTGGACATAACACTGAATTGAAGTTGAATAAATAATGAAAGTCTCTTTTTATGTTCTTTTAATGAATCGTTCACGAGTAGTATGCTGTTCTGGACATAACACTTTGAATTGAAGTTGAATAAATAATGAAAGTCTCTTTTTATGTTCTTTTAATGAATCGTTCACAATTAGACCGGGAACATGTATTAAGAAAGTAAATGGGGTCAGTTATTTTGATTTCATGTAGTGAATCTAGATGTCCTTTGTGGATTTATTGTACCTTTGAATAACACATTTACCCCAGATCTTGTCTTCGTATTGAAATGTACTTTAAATCAAAAAAATATCTGCTAAATGACAAATAACCAAAGCTGACTGCAAGTGCATATAAAGTATCTGTGTTTTAAGGATCAAGTTAAACAAGATCAGAAGGTAAAGTCTAATTATCACTGATTCAGAGGTGATGAGGTTATTGTGTTTTGGGGTGGGTGAGATGTTTAAACAAACCCTTGATTAATCCTCTCTTTGCCTTTATTGTCTTTTGATTGTATTAATCAACATCCTCTGAGTTAAGAAAGGTCAACTCGAGAGTTTAACCACAGAAAGGTCAAACTGTGTATCTAAGTCTAAACTCTTAAAATAAAGGTTCTTCTGCAGTTCAACACTGAATCCAATTCTTATCAAGATCCATTTTTGGTCTCATAGGGTTCTTGAGTTGAAATAGACTTCTTTAAAGGTGCTCTGTACGATTTTTAAATATAGTATCAGCACACACACATTTCAAGATATAGGGCCCTATCATACACTCGGCGCAATGCAACGCCAGGCACAATGCAAGTGTTTTTTTGCTAGTTTCAGCCTGATGCCGTTGTCATTTTCACGTCCAGTGCCACGTTGTTTAAATAGCAAATGCACTTGCACCCATCTGTTCACCCACGGGCGTGCTGGTCTGAAAACGAGGTGTGTTCAGGTGCATTGTTGGCGCGTTACTATTTTGACGCAGCTGAAAACGATTGCACCTTTGACCAAATAAAACCTGGTCTAAAGTCAATGGTGCAGTATTTTTTTTATTTAAGAGGCGTGTTCGTATTATGAAAGGATTAAAATGTAAAAGATAATTATTGTGTACGCTTTAACCTCGCACACGAGCAGATCTGTTTCCTCTCTGGAGACGCGTTCAGTCTTTTCTCTTGCAAATTCCGCCATGTAAATGAGCGAATCCGCCATCGTGCAAGCACAACTGGCTTTTAAAAGGAATGGGAGATGAGACTCTGATTGGTTTATTGCACGTTACGCCCAAAACAGACCCATGACTCATAGGTACAACCTATTAAAGGGTAAAACCTTTAAAGTGTATTTGGACACACCCTAAGTGCACCAGCGCCATGCGCTTCAGACCATGCGCTTAGATCGTTAAAATAGAGCCCAGTATGTTAAATTTTTCCAGCAGTCGGAACGGCCGGGGTGTGTTTGTTATTGTATGTAAGCCACGCCCTTTGAAACTTATGCCCCTCCCTGCATTTATAATGAGACTGCGAAAGCAACCTCCCACTCCGCTTTGTAAAAGCAAGCTGGTGGAGCATAGTATGCAGCTTTCTATTAAAGGCGAACATCCACATGCCTTGGTTTTATATTTGCATAAAACCTCCTCATTTTACATTGTTTATAAAAGCCACATTTATCTTAATCTTTCTTTTTTTTTTATGTTGCCCAAAAGGGGGGCGTGGCAAAAGCACACATTTGTTTTGAGATGCGCTGTTCCCGTGCGAAAGGTTGAGAAATCGTATATAGCATCTTTAAAGAAAACTTAGATTAGGAAGTTATTGAAATCAGTTTTTAAAGCACCAGATCAGATTTATTTTTTTTGGCAGTTGGAATTTTCCTGTAAAACCATGGATATCACCAGAACCTTTAGTTTTAAGAGCAGGCCTATATGTATATATACATATATATATATATATATATCAGCTGATTCAGGTGACTGCTGTGTTATGGTCATGTGACCTGATGCAGCAGTTGCTATGACCTGTTTAAAGCATCATTTATCTGCTGTTATCTCAACAAACAGGACTGCACAGGCCTTGCTACAGACGAGGTCAGCAGAGGCACATTATGTTTTGTCAGGACATACTGTATGTGAATTTGCTGACGTTGTGGCCGCTAAACTTCCACTGTCTTCTGCTTCAATAGTGTCTTCCTGCACACACCCAGTCTACAGTGAAGCGTAGTGATGAATTATACCGACAGTGTGTTACAGAGATATCTGGAGATGGAAAATGGGAAGACTCAAGAATTACAAGTAGAATTGGACACAGGATTGAATGGAAATCTATTATCAGACAGGTTTATGTGTAAATGAAGAGTTTATTTGCAAAAACAGATAGCTCCGTTTTTATTGATTTTAAGATTAATATTTAAAATCATGTTTTTTCATTGTGTTATCATGTTTTTATTGTGTTTTATTGTGTTAGCTGAATTTTTAGTTATTATTATTTAATCAAAACAACCCAACTGCAGTTTGACTGATATTGGAACGCAGGATAAAAAACATGATTTTTGTACATTTTTAAAACGGAGTTATCTGTTTTTGCAAGTGAACTCTTCAGATTGTGGCATGACAGACATTTTTACAGCAATGCAGAGCATATGACAGAACAATAGGCTGCAAATACTACAGACAAATGTACAGTTAAAAGGTACAGAATATAACTGTAGAAAGTTAGAAGCGATGGAATCAAAGAGTTGGGGTGTTCAACGTTTTTAACCTACTCATTAATCGTCACACTGCAGTTCAGTAAGTGGCACTAACGCTGCATAAGAACAATACAAGAAGAAGAAGCAGCAGCGGAAAAGAAGCACCAAAGAGGAAAATATTCTAACAAGATCCTAAGGGTTGGACATACTATGCTGAATAAAAATAATAAATAAACATCCAACGGATTACACAGTTTATTTTTGTATCTTAAGAGAACAGAGCTGATTAAGAGAATTTAGAGGGAATTTTGGGTAAATGTGTTTTTTTTTTGTCCTCTCATTATGAAAGGGTAAACTCTAGTCCACACTCCAATACAGTAGGTGGCGATAATGCACCTTAACATTGGTGCTACCCGTCATAAAACCGAAGAAGAAGCAGCAGCAGTAGCTCATGTGGTCTTTGGCGTCTATTTAAGTTTGTTTGCGGTCGGTGCGCTCGACTGGGTTCACTCACATCGGCTGTGGGAAGTGTGCAAAGTTGTTTGGGTTTTCGCTTTTATGCGTTGTTTTGCGTGAACATTTTGCATTTACCGGTCTTTGATTCTCTATATAATCTGTGCATCTGGTCCAGTTTGAGGTTCCTAGGTTTTTTTTTTTTTTTTTTTTTTTTTTTTTTTTTTAAAAAAATTTTTATAAATAAATCCTAATATTATATACAGTATGGGTCCGAAGCAGAGCAGTCCATCCGTGGGGGTTCGGATCCGATCTTACTCCGGTTCCGATCTGTCTAGCTCTGACGGGCGAGCTGCGGTTCTGCGCTATTACGCGGGCGGTTCGACGGAACAGATCGGTGAACGGGTCCAGTATTCGTCGCAAAGACCCGGTCCGTTCATCCCGACCAGCGGCCGGAGAGATGAGACAGACGGGCAGAGAACGCTGCTGATCGGGTCACTACCTGCGCACCTCACCCCTCACCTGCTGGGCGGTAAGACACTGGGCAAACTCCTGCCAATTAATATTATATGCATTTGACTATATATAGGCCTATATATAATATCACGTTGACCTCATATGCTGAAGTAAGTTATTTTGTGAAGTTATTATAATCACAAGTTCATCTGATGTATTGTGATTTTATGGGCCATCTTATGATCAGTGTTGGAGAAAGTTACTTTTAAAAGTAAAGCATTACAATGTTGCGTTACTCCATAAAAAAGTAACTAATGACGTTACTTTTTATGGAACGTAATGCGTTACGTTACTTTTGCGTTACATTTTTAAATCTGGACAGGGCTTGCTAGTTTGTTTTTAAAATAAAAAAGTTCTATTTTTGGCAAATATAAAAGCCTTTTCACACCAAAAGTGAAATGAATAAGCCTCAGGCTGAAGGGAAAGTAAAGTTACGTCCGTACAGTAGAATGCAGAAGAAGACATTTCAACACACTTCAGCAATAAACAAAGACACGAATGTTTGTCTAGAGTCATTTGTGCTTTATTAGTCTGCTTGGATCATCGAAGCTCAGAAGCAAAGACATTGCTTAATAGAATGGGATTAAATACATAAAGCATATTTGTGTTGTTTAACATTTAATTATTGCAGGTTTGCATCATATTCTGAGTTGCATTATTTTTATTCATTTTGAGGATTTTATTCAATTTGTTTGTGAGTGAGATGAATTAATGCATATTCATATTTATTGTAGAACTACAGTAACATCTTCTGATTTCTCTCAACATGGGGACAGGAGAGCTGTCAATCAATACATTGGGGAAAAAAAGTAACTTGCGTTACTTATTTGAAAAAGTAGCTCCAATATTCTCTTGTAAATTAAGAAGTAATGCGTTACTTTACTAGTTACTTGAAAAAAGTAATCTGATTATGTAACTCGCGTTGCTTGTAATGCGTTACCCCCAACACTGCTTATGATTATATGTTCATATAATTGCAGTAATTTAATAATATTAATATATTATATTATGATGTTGCTTATTAGTCTTAAATGATTGAGTACACAACATTTTTATATGATCACAACAAGCTCATATACCATAAATATATACATTTATTTTATTGGTCTTATATGATTATTCATCTTTTTCTAAGACAATATCATAGATATATGCATTATAATTTATAGTAATGAATCTTGTTGACTATTATCTTATTATGCCTTGTCATAATTAAGCTCATGCATGTGTTATGTTATATTATAATGTAAATTCAGTCATTTAGGTCATATATACTTTATAATTTAATTATTGATGAAATCATATGATTATGGTATGGTTATATAATGATGCCAATAATTCCATATATGTCAATACATTTTATTACAATGCACCTCAC